ACGTGGTCAAGGTATCTCTTCCTTTCAAGAAGCAAAGGAAAGCTGTGCTGTTTTTTTTCACCCTGCTGAAAAAAAGAGATCTTTTTTTTTTCCACGTGGGTAAAGTGGAGACTGGCAACTGGAGCTCCACAACAGGAATGGGACATCCTCCACACTGCGTGTGTCATGTGGAACTCGGATAACTGGGCTGTTTGGTGATCCTCTGACCAGCTCCGTGAAGTTGGCTCCGGATGTGAGGGTAATACTGCAATTTTGTTTCTCTGTTTGCGGAGTGCGGGGTTGGAGAAGGTTGATTTTGCATATTTGCTGTGCGTTTGTGTGAACAGGAAAATTAAGTTTGTCTCCAATATCATACCGTAATCAACAGTTGCGGGTCTAGCCTTAAAAAGCGAATATTAGCAAACAATTGTACTTTAAAAAAGCGTTACTAAGCACGTCTTAATACTTATGGCAATATTTTTTAAATCTGAAGAAGCAATCAGTTTCTCCTTGTGTCCGTTTTAAAAATGCAAATCAAGGGACGTTTAAAGATTCGATCCACGTGTTTAAAAATACTAGAATTGGCACCTCCTGTAGTAAGAGACCGAAAAAGCAAATTTATGAAAAAGCAAATTCGGAGACGTGAAAAAGAACCAGGAATTTGTTTTTTAGGTGCACTTTGTACCAAATTAACCAAGGTAGATCATAACACATCTGTAAAGCTACATTGGGAACTCTTACTCTCGCACACATGCAGCCTCTGGAAATATTTAAAAATATTTTTTCCACAAAAAATAATTGAATATATATCAAAGTTAAAAACGTCATTATCCATGTCATGGTATTGAAGTATTGATTATGTAACCTCGTTGAAACTTTAATTGAACATTTACGATTTGTTCCAATTCAGTTTAATTCAAAATACTTTATTTATCCTCAGGGATTCAGATCATGAATAGTAAAAGATTATAAATTAGCGTCAACCTAATAACCTAGCGCCACAAACCGTGTTTCAGAATTCGTCTTTTAAATTTGGATCAAGCACAGATACACTGTACAGTACGTCGCTCATGGACAGTGGTCCCCAACTCTTTTCACTGTATAACCTGTGTATTCGGTGTACAACATCAAATTGAATTTTGACGACTTTTAAAAATTAATAAAAAATAATTTTCATCCCTCTCTCTTAGAGAGATAATATATTTTATTATGAAGCTCTTAAATACCTGTCGCACACTGCTTCCACTAGTTCATTACTAGACATCTGATATTCATAGCCAACATTTTTACCACCATCACTCTTTGCACTTGACTACAGTAACTTTATTTTATAGTATATTAAATGATGGCTTCTCTAATAGTAATAATAAGGATCGATTTGATGCTCTACTCATAGCAAAACTAGTTATTACATTCCTATCGCTGTTCTGTTATCTAAGCGAAGACGTGTTCACATTGTATTTATATGTATTGCTTTTGATTTTTAAATCTTTAAACTGAAGGAACCTTGTCAAACGCTCATGGAAATATATGATATCGTGACACCTACTGTTATAAAGTAACCAAAGGGATACTCTGCCAAGACACCGGGTATAAAACATTTACATCCGTTTAATCGTTCATGCAGTTTTTTTAAGTATGTAGTCTTCATACATTTAAAAAAAAAAACATTTTGACCTCTTAGACATCATGTCTGACACGTGATATACAGGCTCCCCCAACTCTACTGCAAATGTTTATACTTTATTTTTCACTGTCATTCGAAAAGATAAACAAGTCATGTCCAGTCGCACAAAACGCTAGAA